CGGGCCCTGATCTCTGCGGGCGCGTGATTTTGATTTTAGGGAGCGGAGATTATATATCCTAGTGTTCCCGTGGAAATCTTCCTCTGCAGGAGCCTCTATCGCTCAGCTTGGCAGGTTCTATCTTTACCCTCTGCTGCCTTCGCTATGCAAGATGCTTGTTGCTGAAGCCCTGAACCCCTTCTGTTGGGAGGTTTCTTCCTGTTAAAAGGCGAGTTTTTCTCCCTTGACTTTACCCTGTGAAGTCCACCGATAAGTTTTATTATGATTTGGAGAATATACAATAGAAGCTTGAATTGCTGCTGGTGATTCCTTCTCAGTCGGTGTACAGCTCAAGATATGTGCGAAACAACATGATAGTTTGATTGGGTTATTTCTTTTGTGAAGCTGACATAGTTCGACTTGGTCACAAACCATGCTTACAGAGTGAAGTATTTCCAACACTACAGGGGCCCGTCCAACATTAATGAAAGCCTCATCAGATGACTCCAGTGTTTTGCTGTGTTTCACTTTCTATTCACGCCTTGACTTAATGATCAACTCGGTCACACTCGGTCTCTAATGACTCTGATCCGCACAGGGATGCCTGAGATTGGAAAGACAAGGAAATTCGATGAGAGAGTGGTGCAGTCTTTCTTTTCTTCGAAGCGTAATCATTCAAATCCAAGGACCGTAAAACTAGATCACATCAAACGCTGACACCCAAAGGTAAAGTTTCTCACTTCCTGTTGGCTGCTAAAGCCAGTGGAAACATCCGTGTGGTATAAAGTTGTAAGATGACAAAGACAAAGAGTCGAGTTGCATAAGGAGAAATAAGAATGAGAAAGAGACAATGAGGAAATAAAACCAACGGAGCATGTCTGGATCTTTAATAGTCTAAGGTCCAGGGAAGAGAAGTCATTGGTCCATTCAAATGAGCTGTTGTTAAAGGAGATTAAGCGGCGGGAGGAAGCGTCTGGACCGACCACAATCATTGGCCGTGCTGCTGTGTGTCTGTGTTTGTCCTCTTGTCCTCATCTGCTCGGTGGCTCCAGTTTTATTCTGCAGCTCATTGTTTTCCCATAAGTCCGTCTGTCTGGGAGCCGCCGTCAGTGTCCGTATCGATTATCGGAGGCTGGAAACCAACATCACCAATAAATTGAATGGGGTGGCTCGGGCCATTGGTTTGGGAGAGATGAGGACAGAGAGCGAGGTCTGTGTGTGTGTGTGTGTGCGTGCGTGTGTGTGTGTGTGTGTGTGTGTGTGTGTGTGTGTGTGTGTAGATTACGTATAAATGGAGAATCAAACTGCACTGTAATCACACTCAAGTCACAGCGAGATGTATTTCTCTTTCTCTCCTGACTCACGGCTTTAGTTTAGTTTAGCTGTCAACGTTTGACTCCTGTTTAACAAATGAAACGTATATTTGGTTTAAAGGTTTAAAGACACATTTATAAGTTAATTTCTGCATCTCTGCATTAATTCATTTAAGTTATTATAGTTATCATAATGTTTGCCAGACAGTCTGTACAGTAGATGTTACTCACTGATCTGCAGGCGGCTCTGGAGGAAAACCGGGAAAACAGGGAATCACCAAATTCTCCTCATGAACCTTGTGATTCATTAAGCCGACGTTAGCAGCCAGTGGACAGTATTACTGATCTTTCTAGAGTTACATTTTCAGAGGAGCCTCGTCTGTCTTATCTTCATGGTGCACCTGTGGCTGTTGCTTCTGGCTGCCAGAGCTGGATCCGATCCGATCCATTAACACAAGGCCTCTGCTGTTCTCTGATGGCTTCACTCTTTCCTCTGCTCCTGTCTGGCCTGCCCTAAGTGTCTCCTCCTGCCTTTGATGTTTACTGTATTTGCTGTGTGCCAGGCAGTGGAGGGGGGTGGGGGGTGGGGCAGTACAAATGATTCTTTTTTCTTTGGCATGGCTTTAACCTGCTTAGAGTCACTGCAGAGCGGATGTGTGTGTGTGTGAGCCACTGTCAGTGGAAGTGCATTTGAAAGTGAAGGTCAAAATCAAATGTAAAGCAAGTATTAAAAGATTTTGAGCTGTTTGTCCACATCAAAATGTATCTATGTATCTGTCATGGCAAAAACAAACCAACAATAGTTTACAGGTTATATCATAGTTTACCAATGAATTTACTTAAAATCTTCCAAATTATTGCCGTTGATGCTTGAGTAAATATTGTTGCTGACATGTGAGTGAAATTGATATCCAGCTAATGCCTAAACTAAAACTAAAAAAAAGAGAGAAATACATGAAAACTGTGATATTAGTGATACTTTATTGTGAAATCGTTAACATAAATTCTTCATCTGATTTAAGGCCGTATCTCTCATTGTCACTTGCTATATTGGGAAAGTTCTACTTTCCAACAAACTCTGATTTAGCATCTGCCACTGAGGGAGTCTGCTGGATAATATTAGATCTGATGGGTTTAATTGCACTGCCAGATCTCATCAGGATGGAAGGGGAATAAGAAAGACGGGAGGGAGGAGGAAGACCGAGGGGAGGATGGGGTGATGAGTAGGAGCAGAAGAAAAAAAAATAATTGAAAAGGATGTAGGTCTGTTTGGTCAAATTTGAGCAGTTTTGATTAATGAGAGCTACATGATGGAGAATATTTTAATAACAGAATCACACATTTGTTTCTTCCTCTTTTTTTGTTGTTGTTTTTATTGCAAATTTCCATCTTTCTATTTAGTGTTTTCTTTATCTGATTACGTCTTTTCTTCAGTCACACGAACATTGTGTGGGCTAAATTCATCACAGATCTTTCAATATAAAACAAAAATAGAAACTATTAGATCCAAGGTCAAAAGAACATTTATTCAGTGAGGCCCCAGGAGACGGAGAGGTGAGTGAATGATTCATCAGTAAGCGAGTAAAGGAGTGAATTTGTGTCTGCGAGTGATTGAGTGAGTTATCGTGCTCAAGAGTGAATGAGGTGAGAGAAATTGAGGGAAGAGAGAGGGCTGAATATTGTGGCTGAGGGTCATTAAGACTGTGCTAAATCTGATTTAACAGCACTGTTAGACGGCTTTGGATGAACTGTTGAGGGCCCTGATTTAGAGCCCGAGAAATCTGTGCTGTGCCTCATCAGGGACTTGGTGTGATATCGAGGATGAAGGGTAATACGATATGTTTCAGGAACCATCCTGAAGGAGTATTTGTCTAGTTAGGGGGAAAAAAATAAATGTAACTTCTGCTTAAAATATGCCAATACCTACACATTCTGCTGTGATACATCGTGGTTTTGCAGAAATTGAACAAGTGAACCGACGCCGGGGGCCAGATGCATAAATGTGGAGATGCAAGACTTGAAGTTTACATCCATACTCTTCTCATCAGATTTACAAAACGCTGCATATGGTTCTGTTTTAAAATCTCACTCAAAAAAATTCACTTGCATGGGCGTTAACACAGTCACTGCTGTAGTATTTACACCAAATACAGTGTCAGTAATTCATTAAGTCGTCACACGTGTACCTGAGGACAATGTTTAGCTTAGATCTGGAATAAATACCCAGGGAAATGGCCAAACTGTTGGAGAACAACAAAAGCAAAAGAAAGTAACAAGAAAAAGAAATAAGGAATAAAAATGAACAAACAAGTCATAAAAATAAAGTTGATTTAAAATGATTTAAAGGTGACCTGTGGAGTTTTTCTGTAAAAACAAACGTATTGTGTATATTCTTGAAGGCTAACAAATGTGTCGCAGACTTTTCTTTCCTCGTTAGGCGTTTGCAGAGAAGATTTTCTTCTTTAATATTTGAAAATTGTGCGCACCATGTTTTTGCTCGCCAACGGAGTTGTTCATCATTCCCTTTGTTGCCACATTGCTAAGCTTCTCGGTGCATTACCGACTCCGTCAATCAGCTGAGTAGAACGTATATTGCATCGCCCTCGTGCATGTGTGTCCCTGTGCAAGTGTCAAAAACTCCACAGGTCATCTTTACATTTTCTTGGTGTGTAAACTGCAAAAACTGACTCATTTTCTGCTTTGATTTTTACCACAAGACACTGAGCTGGCTCTAGAGAAAACGTCTGTTCGCCTGGTCCTAAGTGCAGTATGTGCGAGGTTTACACATTCTGCATGTTTTTCTTCTGCAAATATTTATGTTTATGTGTGGGAAATGATGTAGGCCTTGATTATACATTATACATTGATTAAAACTCTTGACTGACTCAGTGATTTCATCCCTGCGCTTTTTTTGTCTTCTTCTTTGTGAACATGTCTCTCTTTAGGAAAAGTCTTCATCGGCAACAAGCAGGAGATTGCAGAAAGCAGAATCCCTGAACTCAGCACGTACATGAAGGTAATCACCTTTCATTTTGTGCACAGTGCAGACTTCAATTTTGCACAAAGGAAAGAATTGTTGGCATGCTCGGCATCTTCTGCAGTGTGCAGTAGCCTACAACTTGGTGGGCTGAATGATGCTGTAGGTGGATAAGCACTGACTCGGATATTTCAGCAGTAGTTTGCCGATCGAGCTCAACACGTAGGCGTTGCTGCTCTCTTCTCTTTGCTCTGCCCTGTGCCCACATCACGTCTGACTGACTGTAGTTGTGGGACTTTTGACATGTTTCAGCGTTGCTCCATCGCTAAAAACACGATCAGGTTCTCTTTCTCCCACTCACTCACTTCTCTTTTCTGCTTTACTCTCTTTTGCTGCAACCTACGTGATTCTCACTTTGCCACACTCTCTCGCCTTCGCTCGCCTTGCACTTGTAATCTTTCTCGCTTCATCTCCTCTCTTTTCATCCACTCCTTCCACCCAGCTCGCTCAAATCTCCCACCGCCCGACTTCTCCTTCTCCTCTTCCATCAAACTCCCACTCTCCTTACACCTCTCTTGTATCTCCGCTTACCTCTACCCGTCCACCCTGATCTACCCTTTCTCCCATCTGTCCTTCATCTCCACCTTTCTCACACATCTTCATCTGCATCTTTCATCCCATCCCTTTTGACTCCGTCCGTCCCTCCCTTCCTTGTGATCCAACCCCTTTCCAGCTCTGTTGCCTCATTCTCCCTCTCTCTCTCTCTCTCTCTCCTCTCCCAGAGGTTGCTGGGTCTGCCAACATGGTTCCTGCTCGATGAGGCTCTCAGGATGTTTTTCTACCAGACGGAGCAAGACAGCCAGCACCTACCGCGAGCCCTCAGGCGTCTCCGCCCACCTACCCGAAAAGTGTAAGCGCATCTTGCTCACAAGTGCAAAACGGAGGCTGACTGGTGGTAATGCTAAACAGCTAGCTGAACTCCAGATGTGACATGAATCCGTAAACTGTGACTGTGAGACGCCTCGACAGCCAATGGTTTTTTCTTTTTTTTAATCAGAGCTTCTTATCAGAAGAGACAATACTCCAATTATACAAAGTGTTGGAGGGTGCAGAGGTGACAGCCTTGGTGAATTGGGTTTGAAGCTGAAGTACCTGCTATTAATGAAGAAGCAGGTTGTTTGTACCACAAGTTAATTTGCATAAATCTCTTTCTGAATAATAAATCATGAAGGGTCTTAGTGAAAGAAGCTCAGGCCTTCAAATTTGACCTTAGTCTGTGAAACATTTTGATCACTAAGAGGGGAAACTGCCTCCTTTATTGTTCAGAAGTGACCATGATTAGGATCAATCTCGGGCCATTAGCCTTTTTAGAGCAGTTTTTCTCTGAAATAATTATGTTTCAATGTGAAGGTAGATGGAGCAGATGGGGTGCAGGTTTTGTGTGGATGTGAAGGCCGATGGAAAGAGGGAAAGGACGTGAAGGAATTTCCCCTGAAAAACATAAAACCTGGAAGTTCTGGAAGAAAACCCCACATAAGCACACACATACGAATTAGCAACATGTTAAAATGTTAGCTGTGTTGACGTTGTCGAAAATGTGGTTTTAACTTTTGACTCAATGATCACTGACTCATAAATTACTGTAATTTTATGATACAGCTAATCTATAATACATGCATTTTACTTCATAATCGACTTCCCAGCTGTCAATCCAAACAGACGTGTGTGTGAGTGAGAATAAGTACTGGAGGTTAGCATTTTGCTCAAGAGCACTTTGACAGGAAGCTTTTGAAGGACAAGTGAGCTGCTGAAACACCGAACACATGAACATCTGGATGTCTTCAAACACAAGGACACTCGGAGAAATGTTTAAGCAACAATTACCATCTCACTTGAAAATGTGTTTGATTGGTTATATAAGAGAGACCTACAGTCCATCATCCTGACAGAAGCGGTGCTCTGCATGAACAAAGCCAAAGCTCGTTCACCTTGACTCCCACTCATCCGGATTCTTCCCAGTTCCAAGCTCTCCCGTCCTCGTCCCCTCCATCCTCCAGCTCATGACCAGGACATTGCTCAAAATTCACCATATTTATGAGGGTTTTAAAGTGGTTTAATGCTTTTCTGAGGGGGCAATGAGCGAGTAGCACGTAGCTTCATCAAGTATTTTAATGACAGGGTTTGTATAGCAAATGATTGTACAGTTAGATTATGTTTGGAAAAGGCTCTGCACTCTACTGGGAGAAGTAATCCCCCAAAACAAACACATCTATCAGCATCAGCTCTCATTCACAAAGCTGAGCTTAAAAGTGGTGGAAGTTCCTGCTGCAGTAAACTACATCGGCATGAAGGCGTCAGTTTATAATGACTGTAAACCTGCATGAATATGATTGGACTTCATTAGTCAGCTGGTAACCAAGCAGCCAATGAATGAGCCACTGCTTAGGCATGAATAAAGTGGCTGATTCCAATCAGGTAATGCAAGTGAATGCAACTAACACAACGCTCCGTAAGTCTTTTATCAGAACAAGTAACCTATGTCAGATATACTTTTGAAATAGGTGTAGAAGATTTATATTTTTAGATACAGTCAAACCATGTGTTTGATGAATGAGAGCATCACTGGCCTGGAAACTAAGTGGATGCACTGAATATAATGATGGATATAAAGCCAGAGAAAGTATTATATCTATTTCAATAAGTCAATACATATTCATTTGCAGATATTTTCGATACATGCATTCATGAAAACTTAGATGAAGGATGGATCAATGAGAGAGAGAGTTGACATCTATCTTGTGTTTGTCATAGTAAAACCGGGGCCTAAAATACAGAACCATTACCCTCTATCCCAGTGACAGGTGATACAGCTGTGCAACAAGACATAAATATTTTACATCAAATCAAAGCGAGGCTGTCCTGAGTTATGATGCCCCGGTTTGGGAAAGAAGCGCTGCTGCCTGGACTCCTCCTGTCTTATCCTTACACTCTCTCTGTCGCAGTCGTAAAAGGATGGAGCTAAGTAGCGAGGAAAGTGGTGGAGGTGAGGTTACATAAATTTGGCAGAGAGAAATCCACAGAGACTTTTTTACGGTCTACTTCCTCGTTCATAACGGCCACTGGGGCATCTGATTGGCCCATTCCTCTGTGGTCAGGTTACATCAGTAGGAGATGTGGTAAAAGAGGACTCTCTTAACAGGAAATGATGCAAAGGGAGAATCTCATTACTTCCTCTGCTCTTGCATCAAGCCTGCCTTTATTTATACGGACATATGATCAGTTTTTTGGCATATGAATTGTACAAAAAACTTTGCTATTTCCTCTTTCGAATGTTGCTTCACATTTGATTCTCTCATTGTCCTAGAAAACCAGTTGCATTTTGTCTCATAGGTACAATACGTTACAGTCAACACAAGTGTTTCCTCTAAACTTTGAACTTCTGTCTGTTTTTTCTTGCTATTAAGAGTTTTATTATTCCATACTTTTTACAAAGGGATCTTACATTTTTTTGTGTGTATTTTGTGTTCGTGCATTAGAAAAATAACACTGATTAAACTTAAGTATAGTATCTCATAACAACCCTGTCTTCTATAATTTACGTTCATATACAACGAAACTGTTTCCCAAATTAAACTGTGGTGGCAATGTATTTATGCTCTGAGACAAGGTTTTTTTTTTTTAATGGATGAAGCGCTACATTTTTTGATAGCAGTCGCCAGGAGAAGGTTTCACATCGTACAAAGTGCCACTGCTACAAACCGTCACACCAGAAGCTGCGGCTCACACACACCCTCCTGTCTGTGGTTGAGTTTAGGCAACAAGAGCGTTGTTGGTTGAGATTAGGGAAAGATTGTGTTTTCTGGATCAAAGTTATGGACTGACTGACAGACTGACATTAGCATCTCCTCAGCCCTTGCTAGCATGACTAAAATACACAGATTAACTCTGACAGGAGCTATAATTTACAGAAAAAATTTCAGACATCTAAAAGCCTTAAATTGTCCAATTTATGTTGCTTCAAGGGATTAATGCGTCCGTCACACCTGCAGACAATGTTCACTTAAACGAGAAATCTTGTCTCTGTTTGTCTTTTAGGAAGACAGTCAAACCAAAGATGGACCTCTTCTCCTCCCCCAGGGCGGAGGTATGTGTAGTTCAATTTTTTTTTTTGTTGTTGTTGTTGTTGTTGTTGTTGTTGCTTTGGTTACAATCACCATGGCGACCCACAGAGAAACAACTTCCTAGTGAAAAACCATGCAGATTGCACTACATCATCCCGAGAAATACGTGTCAGCACCCTGGGTGTGTGACAGCATGTCATGACACACACACACACACACACACACACACTGTCCACGACACTGCATTATTTTGTCGGTACTTTAAAACTCACGAAAAAGAAACAATACACACAAACTCATGGGACAAATCAATAAGCACGACTTCATTCGTCACATTCTGTGCCACACCTTTCCTCCTCCCTCTTGCCCGTGACCCCGTTGACCTCATCAATAGTTCCTGCTTCGCTTCACTTCCTTTAATAATTTCTGTATCCATCTCTCCTTTCATATTATCCTCCCTCTCCCTCCTTGCTCCCCCCCTTCTCCTCCTTTCCCCACCCCTCCCTCCCCTTAAACAACTCTTAAGTTTGTCCTTGTTTCCCTTTCCTCTCCCTCTCCCTCTCCCTCTGCGTCTGTCCAAGGTTGTGACCATCTCTCATCCCTCTCTCCCTCCTCCTCCTTCGCATCCTCTCATTTTTATTCCATTCACACGCTCCTCTCCTTAATAAAAGGAAAAAAGAAACAGTTTGTGTGTCTCTGCGAGGTTTTCTAGCCCGTGTGGTTCAGATCCAGGAGAGGGAATACAGTGAGGTCAAAGGTTGAAGTGGTAATGACCTGCCAATTAAACTCTCCAAGGAGCCAATAAAAGGTGTTTTTTGTGTGGTCAGCACAAGCCTTGACTCACCTTTTAACACACACACGCATACGGTTGTACTTGTACTATACTTGTGAGGATTCTTCTTGACATAACTACCTATTTTTAATCATCGCAGGTAAATACTTAACCCCGACCCCAAACCCTGCACCTTCAAACAGCCCATTGAAGGCGTGAATAACATCCAAAATGTCCTCACTCTTAAGGTCTGAAACTCAAATTGGTCTTCACAAAAACAGAAGTACAAGAGCACAAACATGTAACCTTGCGAGGCAGCTGGATTTCTTACAAGTGAGAATCCATCTTGCCGAGCTCCAAGCTATTCGCTTGTGGCTAACAGGAATTAGGTGGCGAGACGACGGCGAGAAGTGACTGTTCGTTTGCAACAGTGGCGGCTCCTAAAGAGATCAGTGTAGATGCTGCTATAGCATCAGTTATGTCCGAACTGGAGAGGAAAGAACGGCACAGAAGGCTTCTCTCGATGGGACAGATGTTTTCGCTTTTCTCCTGATAAGAGTTTGATTTAGAGTTTGATTCTCTGGTGGTTGTGATGAAAATAGGAAGGATGCAGAATCTGAAACAATTAACTGATTAATTGAGATATTAACCATCAGATTAATCGATGATGAGACTCTAGCTCATACTGTATTGGCAGTTTGTAAAGCTCATTTTAGGGAAGATTGTGTGTGTGTTTGTGTGTGTGTGTGTGTGTGTGATGCAGCTTTGCTCAGTTTTGTAAGTGACTCTGTCTCCAGTGAGTACAAGCTGTAATGTGAGCACATGTCTGCAGGTGATGTGTGTGTGTTTCTGCAGCTCATGAACTCTTGCGCTTTATCCTTTTGCAAAAGTGTTTAACTTTTTCTAACCTCTCGCTCTACACAGAAAACAGTAAACTGCAACAAACACAGCGTATCGCTCCCCGCACACTCCAGTGGTCTCTTGATTGCCAAACTAAGAGCAACAACTCCATTTTACTCTGTCCTCTCTCTCTCTCTCTCTCTCTCTCTCTCTCTGCCTCCCCTCTCTCCCACACAAAAGTAAAACACTGGTGTACTCTACTCACGAAGCTGCCAGCCTACTCACCATTTATTTTAGCTCTTTCTCTCTGGGAAAAATGAGCGCTCCTCTGTGTGTTTGTGTATGTCCTGCTGTGTGTTTTTCCAGCACAGGAAAAGTGGCTGTTAAACTCTGTACAAACAATGATCAATGGCTGGTCTGAGCCTGATGGATAAGAGGAGAGCGCAGGCATTTGTCACAGTAGAGCTGGTGCAAGCGTTAGCGTTTACGCTACAACACTTCATTCCACTCCACTTAGTATTAGCTCAGGCTTAGCCCCACGCAGCGCGATGAGTAATTGTTGGCGGTGGCGCTATGAGCTTCAAACAAGGTCAATGGGACAGGCTGCTCTTCGTGAACATGAGCTTTTAACGATACACAAGCTTGAGGGTAGTTTGTCTGATGTGAAAAATTGGGGAGAGAAAGACTAAAGACGCAGGAACAGAGAAAGGAGAGAAAATAAGGTGACAGGATGTTAGAGAGGTGAAAAGATGGAGCGTAAAAATGAGAGACGAACACCCATAGAATTAGAAAATTAAAAATCAAGCAGGTCCTGAATCGACTGAGGCTCAGCTCTTCCTCTTTTGCAGTGAGAGCCATTAAAGCAGAAATTAGATCCTATTTTAGATAAAGACCTACCTGGGAAAAAAAAAGCAGATATGCAGGTTCACTTAGTACTTCTCCTCACCAGGAAGAATTATGACCGTACCTCTACTACTTTCACTGTATTATGAAGTGAAATTGTGCAGTAGACGGTTCATTATATGGATGTGAGCCATTATGACGACGTAACTGTAGATTCAGCAGGGTTGATACTGGAGGTGTATTCGAGACCAGCAGTGTCAGTGGATGTGTTTACACATTGAGTTTGAACAATGAATATAAAGTGCAAGGTGATGAAATTGATGTCATCAGATTACATAAGTTTTAATGTTTGTTTCTCTTTCTTTCTTTCTTCCTCTTCCTCTACTGTATTTTCAAAGAAACACTTAATCATTTGATTCATGATTCTAATGTAAAAGGGAAAAACACACAGAGAATAATGACCCAACTCTGCAGCTCTACAGAGCTTTGTAGCCTCCTTTGGTCTCACAGCACATTTATTATATGGTTCAGTCTTATTACTCTCATCAGACCTGTTTCCAGCAGCAGCAGCAGACAGGTGTTTTCAGCTGAACCCATTAAACCCACTCTCCCCTACCTGCCCATCACCAAGCAGCAGAGAGACACATTTAGCAGGTAGCCAGTGAAAAAAAAAAGTGAAGCATCTAGCAACGTAAGAGCCAGATATTTTCCACAGTTAGTGGAGAGCAAAACTGAGCACTTAATTTTGTCAGGAACTTTTTCTAAAAGCAAAGTACAGTAATTGTCGCTTCATGTCTGCCAGATGGGTTAAAGGGACTGATTGTTGCCAAACAATCAATTGGTGCAGCTTGAAATTTGCCAAAGAAATGGAAAACGAAGTGGTAATACAAGTGTTTTAACTGCTTTCACCAAGAAATAACCTCCATTTAATTGCATGAATCAGGTTTATCTTAAGTAGTGTTATGAAATGCACCCTCTGATGTTTTCATCTAACTAACATTCATGCAAAATGTCCATGATTTGAAGGCAGGTTTTGAAATCAAATACCTAGATAAGAACATGGGATTTGCTAATGCCCAAATACATCCCGCTTTGTGTGACAGCCAAAAAGCAGGAGTGACCTCCACAGATATATACGCACAACCTCTGCTCATTCTTCTATAAATATACATGCATATCCTCCTATGATCCTTCACTCCAGGCCCTCAAGGAAGTGGGCCATCTACTTAAAAAAATACACTTTCATTAAACGTCAGGGAGAGAGGAAAAAAAAAAAAAACTCAATTCTCATCTCCTCCTCCCTATTGCCAGACTAACGAGCTGAAGGTTTAACAAGCTCATTAAGGCGGGGTCGGCGCGAGTCTAATTGTACCAGATGATTGCTCCTGTGGCTGGATGAACCCAAGGGCTGTGTGGCTACATTTAGAGACCAGCTCTTCTCTGGGCGCCCAAGTGCCTGCCCTGGATAAACTACAGTGTATATATATAGTGAGAGGAGACAGAACAGTCTCTTTGTTTGCTTAGCATGGCTGGTCAGATTACAAAAACGTAATTGAGGCTATTGCATTTCAAACATTACAGAAGACAGATTTGTATGGATGTTATCTGTGGCTGCATTGCATTCTGGTCTTTTGATACTGCTGTGGGTAGGAAATTGGTGTCTTTTGGCTTTTTCTATGATTGATCTCATCCTGCATGATTGCAATAGCAAAACTTACAAATAGTTTTTTTACGACACAAAGATGGAGGCAGTAATTCAGAGGTATGAAACCTAGGTATGTGGCCAGATGTTGAGATCTGCAGAATGCAATCATTTGGCACCACCACTACTTCTATGATCAAACCAGTTTGCAATATTACTCAGCTACACATTGTTAGCATTAACAGCTGTTTACTTACCGATCTATAAAAAACATTGTGAGTTCAGCATCAGACTTCATTCTTTTTCTCACCAAGAGCTGTTGTTTTCCTTCTATTTGTATCACTTCTTTAGCTTGCTAACCAGTTAACTGTCTTGTCACTTTCCGATAGCGAGTCAGTAGCACTGCTCAGAGGACGTATTGTAACCTCTTGTCTTGTAATAGCGACGATGGCTGAAGCTCTTGGCAAGACTAGCAAGCTAACAGCTGTTTGTGCTAATGTTAGCTATGTAGCAAAAGCAAAACTTACAGATAGCTCCTTTGAAGCCTCAGCACACATATGGTATACCCTCACAGGTGATTTCACAACAGTGGACTCCATGTGCATTGACATCTTGCTAACTGTACTGTTAGCATTGTTTTAACTGTTGGGATGGGACCAACTACACCTTTGATATTCTTATTAGTTGAAAGAATCAAGTAATAATTAATAATTCACAACATAGCTTCGAGCAGAGTTCTCATTCACCAAAACAGGGGTGGACAGGGCCTTTAATTAAGTCCTACTGCTCTGGTGTTGTGCTAATTGACGACTATTTACCTGGCTGATGAAACAGTTGACCAATTAGAGCTTTTAATTAAAACTGGGATGTCATTTTTCATACAACCAGTAGCTACATTACCTAGCTGCATCCATGTGAAATGAACTGCTCCCTCATGTAGTAACCATCAAAGCGTCTGTGTCAATTAAAGATGACATTGGTGGGATACATCACTTCCTACTGATTGATTAGAGCAAAACTAAACAAAATACGAGTCCCTCACAATCAGAGAGTGGCTAATACGTGATGTCAGGCCGAATGAATGAACTTGGCCTGTCACAGATTTTGCCGGGTGAAAATTGATAAACAGCTGACTGATAGCCTACACATCCTGGTTTTGATTTATTTATTCCCCCCTTCTTCACTGTTTACACCTTTTCAGTCATCTCGAAGTGAAAGCTGATGAACTGAACGCCTCTTTTTACGCTGTTTATGCACGCCATACTTATACAGTCAACTACTGCATCGCCTATAGAACTGAGTTGTTATGATCACTCATCAATTCAGCTCATTTTAGTAGTTGGCTAAAGTGTTAGTAGAGAGAGATGAAAAAATAATAAATTGGATGAACAACATCGCCTGTAATAGAGACAAGGGGAGAAAGACAAATAGAAGTAAAGGGATAAAGAGGTGGAACAATGATGTTGAGGAGATGGAGACAGGGAGGGAGAGATGAAAGGAGGTGTAGAGGGAGGGGGAATTGCTTTGTCACATCATATTTGGTGTTTGTCTTGGAGATAGTAGTTTATCTCATCCAACACATTTTCACATCATCTATAAATTACAGCCAGCGGCGGGTCAACACTATAATAAAACAGTGTCTGGAATAATGCATA